CAGGTGGCGTGATCTTGGCCCCTGAAGCTTCCAATCTCCGCAGGTTCATGCATTCTTCCTGCCCTCCAGCCTCCCGAGTAGCTGGGACTACAGGGCGCCCACCACATGCCCGGCTAATTTGTTTTGTATTTTTAGTAGAGACAGGGTTTCACTGTGTAGCCAGGATGGTCTCGATCATCCTGACGCTCGTGATCCGCCCACCTTGCCCTCCCAAAGTGCTCCGCAGGATTACAGGCGTGAACACCACCGCGCTCTTTTTTTTTTTTTTTTTTTTGAAACAGGTCTCGTCTATCACCCAGCCTGTGAAGTGCAGTAGGACAACACAGCTTGATTGCGACTTAACCTCCAGGCTCAGAAACTGAGTCTCCACCTTAGTTTTTCCGTTTTTCGCCTCCTCCATCCATCCTCCCTCGCCTTCACTCTTGTCCCTCCCTCCCTCCCTTTTCTCCCTCCCTTTCTCATTCTCCTCCTCTCCCTTCCCTCGCGCTCCCTCCTTCCCCTTCTCCTCCTCCTTCCGTGATCCTTCCGTTTTTATGGAAATGAGGCAGGTCTCCTTATGTTTGTGTGGCCTGGTCTCAACTCAATAGGCTCACACTCCTCCACTTAGCATCCATCGAATCTAAATTTAGCTTTTATGTTTAAAGAGTATTGACATCGTGAAAAATATAGAGGCCAGGCACGGAGGCTCATGCTTGTAGTCCTAGCACTTTGGGAGGCCAAGGTGGGTCAATGACTTGAGCCCAGGGGTTCAAGACCAGCCTAGGCAACATGATGACACCTCGTCTCTACAGAAAATACAAAAATTAGCCAGGCGTGGCAGTGTGTGCCTGTGGTCCCAGCTACTCGGCGGGCTAAGGCAGTAGAATAGATTGAGCCTGAGAGGTGGAGGTTGTAGTTAGCTGAGATCGGGCCGTTGCCCTCCAGCCTGGGTGACAAGAGTGAAACCCTGTCTGAAAACAAACAAAACAAAACAAAACCCTGTCTCAAAAAAGAAAAAAATATTTCTGTGAAGAAAACTCCAGTTTCAGTGCTGAAAATTTTTTAATATTCAGGAAAGAAATAACATCAATCATATATAAACTCTTTCAGAAATAGAGGAGAAAAGAACAACTCCTCATTTTTAGAGATGGGGTCTCCCTCTGTTGCCCAGACTGGTCTCAAACTCCTAAGCTCAAGTGACCCTCCTGTCTTGGCCTCCCAAAGTGCTGGGATTACAAGAGTGAGCCACTGAGCTCAACCACAATTTGTCCCTCCCTCCCCTCCCTCCCTCCTCACATTCCGCTTCCTCCTTCCCTTCCTCCTTCCTTCCTTCCTTCCTTCCTTCCTTTGCCTCTTTTCCTCGCCTCCATCGTGCCTCCCTCCCTCCTCCTCCTTCTTTTCTCTTTTCTTTTTTCTTTTTGCGACGACTGATTTTGCTCTTGCTTGGCCCAGGCTGGAGTGCAACTGGCGCCCAATCTAGGCTCACCACAACCTACTGCCTGCCAGGCTTCAAATGATTCTCCGCCTCGGCGCTCTCCAAAGTAGCTTTGGCATTACAGGCACCACAACACGCCTGCTAAATTTTTTTTTTTGTTTTTGTATTTGTTTAGTAAGAAACGCGGGATTTCACCATGTTGCCCAGGCTGATCTTGAACTCCTGACCTCAGGTGATCCACCTGCCTCGGCCTTCCAAAGTGCTGGGATTACAGGCATGAGCCACCGCACCCAGCTGTTTTTTGTTTTCTTGAAACAGAATCTCACTCACTTGCCCAAGGTAGTGTGAACACAGCTCACTGGAGCCTTGACCTCCTGGGCTCAAGCCATCATCCTGCCTCAACCTCCTGAGAAGCCGGGACCACAGACGTGCACTACCAGGCCTGGCTAATTTTTAAACATGTTTTGTAGAGACTAGGTCTTGCCATGTTGCCTAGGCTGGTCTAAAACTCCTGGGCTCAAGCAATCCTCTTGCCTCGGTCTTCCAAAGGGCTAGGATTATACACGTGAGCCACTGCACCTGGCTACTCAATTTGTTTTATGTGGCCTTAATAACCACAAACTAGACAAATATATTACAAAATTAAATAAATAAAATAATATACTAATATCCCTCATACTCAAAGATTGTTTACAAAATATTAGTAAATTTAATTCAACAACATATTAAAAGGATTATATATGTAAATATATATATATACACACACATATATATACACATACACATATATATATATATGAAACCGCCCCCACAGGATTGACAAGAATTGCATGTAGGGTTCTGGACAGATACGTAGTTATAACTAAGTATTAATCAGGCTATACTTTGGCCCACTTCCTTGTTGCTAAAAGTTAGGTAGCACCAGGTACTGACAATTTGTATTCCCATTGTTCTTATAGATAGGATTTCTGAAGTTAGGGTTGTAAGGCTGTTTAAGAATTGATTTGCTTTAACCTGAGGAAGGAAATTTAAAGAAAAAAAGAAAGAAAAATAAATAAATAAAAGAATTGATTTGCATCCCCTTTGTTCCTACCGACAGGTTTTCTGACATTGGAATCATAAGACTTGTTTAAGAATCACTTGTAGGCTGGGCACAGTGGCTCATGCCTGTAATTCCAGCACTTTGGGAAGCCGAGGCAGGCGGATCATGATGTCAAGAGATCAAGACCACCCTGACCAACATGGTGAAACCCCATCTCTACTAAATACAAAAATTTAGCAAGGCGTGGTGGCACATGCCTGTAATCCCAGCTACTTGGGAGGCTGAGGCAGGAGAATCGCTTGAACCTGGGAGGCAGAGGTTGTAATGAGCTGAGATTGTGCCATTGAACTCCAGTCTGGGCAACAAGAGTGAAACTCCATCTCGAAAAAAAAAAACAGAAACAAAAAAAACAGTCACTTGCTGAGCACAGTGGCTCAGGCCTGTTATTCCAGCACTTTGGGAGGCCAAGGCGGGTGGATCACCAGAGGTCAGGAGTTCGAGACCAGCCTGACCAACATGACGAAACCCCCTCTCTACTAAGAATACAAAATTAGCCAGGCATGGTGGCAGGCGCCTGTAATCCTGGCTAATTGGGAGGCTGAGGTTTCAGTGAGTCTAGATGGCGCCATTGCACTACAGCCTGGGCAACAAGAGCAAAACTCCATCTCAAAAAAAAAAAAAAAAGAATCACTTAACACCATGAGCGATGGCTCACTCCCATAAGCCCAGCATTTTGGAAGGCCCAGGTGGGCGGATCACCTGAGGTCAGATCTTGGAGACCAGCCTAGCCAACATGGTGAAATCCTGGTCTCTACTAAAAATACAAAAATTAGCCAGGAGTGATGGCAGACGCCTGTAATCACAGCTTCTCGGCAGGCTGAGGCACCAGAATCCCTTGAACCGGATGGTGAAGGTTGCAGTGGGCCGAGACTGTGCCACTGCACTCCAGCCTGAGTGACAGAGTCAAACTCTGTCTACAAAAAAAATATATATATATATATAAAAAACTTAAGATGTTTTTCACAGCCTGACTTCCAGCAACTAGTTTGAAAACTCCCACAGATAAATGTGATCAGCATGAGAATACGTCTTCATTTCCTTGTCCCTTGACTTCATCCTGCATTCTTTTTTCTATTGATTAGTTTTTATTTTTGTGGATACATAAGTGTATATATTTATGGGGTACATGAGATGTTTTGATACAGACATGCAATGTGAAATAAGCACATCATGAAGAATGGGGTATCCATTCCCTCCAACAAGCCAATTATACTATTTTATTTATTTATTTAGAGACGAAGTCTCACTCTGTCACCCAGGCTGCAGTGAATTGGCACTATCTCGGCTCACTGCAACCTCAGCCTCGCCGGTTCAAGCAATTCTCCTGCCTCAAGCTCCCGAGGCTATACTCTTTAGTTTAAAATGTACGGTTATTGGCTGGTGCGGTGGCTCATGCCTGTAATCCCAGCACTTCAGGAGGCAGAGGCGGGCAGATCACCTGAGGTCAGGAGTTCGAGACCAGCCTGCCCAACATGGAGAAACCCGTCTCTAATAAAAATACAAAAAGTTAGCCGGGCCGGGCACAGTGGCTCACGCCTGTAATCCCAGCACTTTGGGAGGCTGAGGTGGACAGATCACCTGAGGTCAGGAGTTTGAGACCAGCCTGACCAACATGGAGAAACCCCATCTCTACTAAAAATACAAAATTAGCTGGGCATAGTGGTACATGCTTGTAATCCCAGCTACTCAGGAGGCTGAGACAGGAGAATTGCTTGAACCCAGGAGGTGGAGGTTTCGGTGGGCAGAGATCGCGCCATTGCACTACAGCCTGGGCAACAAGAGCGAAACTCCATCTCAGAAAAGAAAAGCAGTGGGAATAATATCTGGTTGGTGTTGATCTCTAGGAAGAAGATACTTTTTTTTTTTTTTTAAAGAAAAGAATGACAGACTCAGAGCTTCACATGTAAATGAATATAAGAAATCTAGTCCC